GAATATTTTAATTGTGAAACATTTCTTAATATACAGTACTGTTATACAAAGCTATCATCCATAATAGCGTAAGCCTTAGAAGACTAACCTTCCCTTTTCTTTGTAAATAAATAAATTAAGAAAAAATCAAATAAATATGAATGTGACAAACACTTAGATATTGTATGTACACATGTTTATTCTTCATCCACAATGCTACACTTTACTGATCTGTCAGCTAATTAAAATATACTAATAATAATAATGATGCTTAAGTAGTAACTTTGATTACTTTTTAAAATACATTTTTCAACTATTTTCATATTGATTTTGTCTTTTCAAATGAAGTTGTAGTTGTTCAGCGACTTTTCTTCTATCAACCAACACGAAAATATTAAAGCAAACAAGAAAAAACGAGGACGTGGAGTTCTCAGCTTCCATACTTTTTATTTTACAAAGAAAACTGTAACGCAGAAGTAATAACAACAATCACGAAAACAAGAGCAATATCGACAAAAACAATCAAGTTTTTTTCTTGGTTTCAGATGCCATAAAAACTAGATCAAACTTATTGGTTGTATTAAAAATAAAGTTAATAAATGAAAAATAGTAGAAATATTAATTGAATAAATTAAATTTCGTTCTCCTATAAAACATAATAGATTGCGAGAAAATACGTAGACCTATATTTTATTTACATTATGACAATGACATATAATTTTGTTATTTTTTTATTTTAACAATCTCATTTATAGGGAAAATATTGCAAACCTACTTTCTCATAAAAATAGTTTTATTTGACATATTATTATTAAAAATAGTAAATAGAACAAGATCATATAAAGTGAAAAATCTAAAAGATAGGCCTACAATATAATATAATATAAAAACCATTAAATAAATGAATTGCATGCATGGAGAAAGAACAGATAATACAGAAATGAAAGTCAAACACGAAAGTAAGTGCGAAGGATTGAAGAAAAAACAAAACACTTTAGATTTAACTAAAAAGGCCATGAGATAGACTAAACTGCTAATGTGAAAGAAGTACTGTAACAGAAGAATATTGAACTGATTATGGTGTAATTAGTTACTGCCAATTAAATCTACTTAGAGCATATATAAAAACTTTTCCGAGTTTTCTTCACGTATGTAATATCTAAATAGGGACTAGTTTCCCACAGAAAATCCTCTCGGGAGCACGTTCTTTTGGCAGATTGCCCATATGTTGCGTAACCTTAATCATCAATCGGATCCAATATTCCTTACTTCGTTATATTTTTAATTATAAATTAATATTTATAAATATCTATAGGACTATATAGGCTAAATATACTTAATTATTCATTCGTAATATTCGTAAAACATAAATTAAATGTATTTAATTATGTAAATTAATTAAATTGTATTTTTTATTTATTTTTACTTTTCCCTGATCTGTTATATATAACAGAGGGAAAGTATGGCAATCAAATAGTGATCCCCCAAGATTTTTATATTTTTGGACACGGGACAGTGAAACGTCGAGAAATGCATTAAAATTTCTGGGATTTTTTCTATTCGCGTTTTTCACCGGATGCTCGCCCTCTGGTGTTTAAAAACTGAACTACTCTATCTGGGTCGTTTGAATGTTCTTCGTGTATTGTCAACAGTATTGTATACAGTAGAGATGAATAGTAAAAGTAAAGCTTTCTGTTGTGTTCCAAATTGTAATTCCAAAGCCATACGCGATTCCGATANCACGTGTCGGGCTGTGATTGGCAAGGACTCGCACAAAATTGATTCATAAAGAACGGAACGTATCTACCGTGTTATAGGGGGGTCGACTGTACTTTAATTTGAACAAAAATTGTAGCAATTATATTAACATTGGTTCATAGCATCGAAACCTAAGATTATTTTGGATAAAACGAAATACGGTATCTATTTACATATGCAAATATTAGACACCTGATTTAGGCAAAGCTATATGGGAGCACAGAAATTTCCGAGTATACATACATCAAATATAGATAAATTTCATACTACTGTAGAAAATGGTCTCACAGACTGTATACTGAAGAGTTAATAGACTGGAACTATAAATTCTTATTTATGTTTTATATTTATACATAAGAACATTAATCCAGAAAATTGATAAATATATATTTAAATAATTATTTTATTCGATTATAAGTAGACTTATAAAAATTTATTTTGAAAAATTATTTTTTTTTACTTATAACCAAGGCTGGGACATTTATGGACTAAAAATAATATAAATAGCTATAAATCTCATATAATTTACACTTTTTATAACTATTTATATGATTTTTAGCGTCTAGATGTCTCAGCATTAGGCTATAACATTTGCTAGATTAACTTTAGCGTTAAACTACTAAAATTATTTCATATTTATTTGCTTAGAATTCACGAAGCCATATTTAAAATCATGTTTATTAGATATATAGAAATTTTATATTTATTTAAAATGAATTTCCATAATTATATTTTCGTATTTTGAATATTTTAATTGTGAAACATTTCTTAATATACAGTACTGTTATACAAAGCTATCATCCATAATAGCGTAAGCCTTAGAAGACTAACCTTCCCTTTTCTTTGTAAATAAATAAATTAAGAAAAAATCAAATAAATATGAATGTGACAAACACTTAGATATTGTATGTACACATGTTTATTCTTCATCCACAATGCTACACTTTACTGATCTGTCAGCTAATTAAAATATACTAATAATAATAATGATGCTTAAGTAGTAACTTTGATTACTTTTTAAAATACATTTTTCAACTATTTTCATATTGATTTTGTCTTTTCAAATGAAGTTGTAGTTGTTCAGCGACTTTTCTTCTATCAACCAACACGAAAATATTAAAGCAAACAAGAAAAAACGAGGACGTGGAGTTCTCAGCTTCCATACTTTTTATTTTACAAAGAAAACTGTAACGCAGAAGTAATAACAACAATCACGAAAACAAGAGCAATATCGACAAAAACAATCAAGTTTTTTTCTTGGTTTCAGATGCCATAAAAACTAGATCAAACTTATTGGTTGTATTAAAAATAAAGTTAATAAATGAAAAATAGTAGAAATATTAATTGAATAAATTAAATTTCGTTCTCCTATAAAACATAATAGATTGCGAGAAAATACGTAGACCTATATTTTATTTACATTATGACAATGACATATAATTTTGTTATTTTTTTATTTTAACAATCTTATTTATAGGGAAAATATTGCAAACCTACTTTCTCATAAAAATAGTTTTATTTGACATATTATTATTAAAAATAGTAAATAGAACAAGATCATATAAAGTGAAAAATCTAAAAGATAGGCCTACAATATAATATAATATAAAAACCATTAAATAAATGAATTGCATGCATGGAGAAAGAACAGATAATACAGAAATGAAAGTCAAACACGAAAGTAAGTGCGAAGGATTGAAGAAAAAACAAAACACTTTAGATTTAACTAAAAAGGCCATGAGATAGACTAAACTGCTAATGTGAAAGAAGTACTGTAACAGAAGAATATTGAACTGATTATGGTGTAATTAGTTACTGCCAATTAAATCTACTTAGAGCATATATAAAAACTTTTCCGAGTTTTCTTCACGTATGTAATATCTAAATAGGGACTAGTTTCCCACAGAAAATCCTCTCGGGAGCACCTTCTTTTGGCAGATTGCCCATATGTTGCGTAACCTTAATCATCAATCGGATCCAATATTCCTTACTTCGTTATATTTTTAATTATAAATTAATATTTATAAATATCTATAGGACTATATAGGCTAAATATACTTAATTATTCATTCGTAATATTCGTAAAACATAAATTAAATGTATTTAATTATGTAAATTAATTAAATTGTATTTTTTATTTATTTTTACTTTTCCCTGATCTGTTATATATAACAGAGGGAAAGTATGGCAATCAAATAGTGATCCCCCAAGATTTTTATATTTTTGGACACGGGACAGTGAAACGTCGAGAAATGCATTAAAATTTCTGGGATTTTTTCTATTCGCGTTTTTCACCGGATGCTCGCCCTCTGGTGTTTAAAAACTGAACTACTCTATCTGGGTCGTTTGAATGTTCTTCGTGTATTGTCAACAGTATTGTATACAGTAGAGATGAATAGTAAAAGTAAAGCTTTCTGTTGTGTTCCAAATTGTAATTCCAAAGCCATACGCGATTCCGATATAAGTTTTCATGTATTCCCACATGAAAAACAGATGATTTTTCGTAAATCAGAATTCGGAGAATCTCAGAAATTAACCGACGGAAAGAGTGGATTCGACTGCTAAGAATTGGCAAAAAAGTTATGAAGTATATGGTAGTATGTTTGAAACATTTTACTCCTGAAGATTATATTTTGTCATGTATGCTATCATGTTTTTATAAATATGTTTAGATTATTGTAATTCGATAGTATTAAAAAATCAAACTGAAAAAGATTGCATAGAGTCTAAGTATAAAGTAATTTAGTATTTGTATTCGTTTTTAATCTATACTATAGGATTATCTTCAATAAAATGTAATTCTATTCAATTTTATATGATATGTCGATAAACTTTAAAATTCCAGTAATTTTGTGTTGGATAAAAGTCAATGCTGATGTTTGCAGACAGAGCACAAAAATGTACAGAACGATCTTGCTCGTTTTTCTCGGTAATACCACATAAAATGACGTGTCCTGCTAGTAATACTTGTTCTCTTTCTATAAAATTTCTCGATGAACTGCTACAAGTAGCATATTTCATTATATCAGATAGTAATATATAATTCATTTTACATTGACGACTAACAAACGACCCAGATAGAGTAGCCATTTTGTAAAAATACAGCGCCCTCTATAGTTCATGAAAAACGCGAATACGTCGAAAGTTTCTGAAATTTTGCAGTGAAGTAAAACCTATACCTACCTTCAAAATGAAACTTTTTACCATTTTATAATAATTTAAAATAGAAAAAGTTTTTAATAAAATATCATAACAGATGGCCCCACAAGCAGTTTTAAATGTTGCCGGGAAAGTCAAGCAACTCGTTGCTGGATTTTTTTCGAGTGTAATGACAAAAACGTATCATTCTTTTTAAAATGAATTAAAGGAATTGTGCGGTAATAGATAACCTGTAAGTAAATAGGCAACTTGATCTGTTAAGTTTTAAATATTATTGATTTTATTTATTATTTTATTTATTTAAGATAAATTAAATGCTGTCTAAGTATATAACCAGTTAAGCTATTTATTTACATTATCACTAATTGGATATAAAGAGAAATCCAATTAGTAATCTTAGTACGGATGCTTTCCATCAAATTTTGTGTCACATTAATTAAAATATGACATTAAATTTCATTTAAAATATAAATTATTTTATTTTCGTTCGTACAATGAATAAAATTCAACCATCAGATCTAAATTTTAACACTTCTATCTAATGAATTAAAATCATAGAAAAATTTCTTAAAGTAAAATTATTATATGAAATTAAACATCGCTATTACAATAATACAATTTCATAAAATTCTAATTGTATATCTTACATTTGCACTTTGTGAGTGGGATCTACTAGGCTTACATTCATTACAAACACTGTTTCACATAAATTAAGTAATAGATTTCTTTACATTCCAATGTTGCAGTTGGCTTGAAAGAGCTTATAATTAGCTTCGTTCTAATTTCAATAAATGCCACATTATTGAAAATATCGTGCCTTAAATAGCCGCTTCAACTACTCTCCGAAGCTACGTAATCTGCAATACAGTTTCTTGCCTAACTAATAGCGAGCAATAACTGTATCCTTATAAAGGATAGCGTTAAAATATACACCGATTAGTCATGCATTACTTGAGAGAAAGTTTTCCGAGATTGAATTTACTAAGCGCTTCATTCCCTCTTTCCTTAATAAATTCCGACGCTTGAGTTAAAAGTTTTGGTTTGACAGTATTATACAATTTTTTCCCACTCGTGCTTAAGTATGCATTAATTACGTCACCCAGACTACCTCCACCGAAGAGATTTTCAAAATAGACACTAGCTTGACGGAAATCCATGTCCAATACTACATCTTCTATCCTTGCATTTCCGGATGAAGGAAACGAGAATGTTAAGGAAATGGTTACTTCAACATCATTAGCGTGTATGCTCATTCTTCCATCTCCGATTAAAGGAAATATTTTAGCTGCCATTCCCGATAAAATATATCTCTCACTGTCGATCATAACTTTGTGGAAAACAACTCTAATCACTACAGTTAAATTTCTAAGATGAGCGTCGAGTTTATACAGAGTAAAGTTCGATAATCCCGAAATTACTAGATTTTGAATGAATAAACTAGAATTTACTTTTTCGTTATTGAAACTTTTACTGATGTTTCCAAGATCTAGAGGATCCAAAACAGGAAGTCCAAACTGCGGAATGCCAGTTTTCATCTGTTCTTTTAACGGATCTAATACTTTCTTTAGATAAGTATTTAATCTGGTTTCATCTGAACCATAGTAGCCATAATTGTAACCTAAAAAAAGAATATAAGTATTTAATTCCTTAAACATTAACTAATTATTTTTTTAAATATAGTACATTAGCTTCCTTGATTCTTCTTTATAAATTTATTCTTCTCAAAATTTTAATTACATAAGCAGTATTCAATACAAGAGATACATTCCAGGATTTATTTTAGAACAAAGTAAACATTATATAAAGTAAACAAAGGATTGGTTTTTACCTCTATACGGTCCAGCTTCTGTCTTATAATAAGTAATAATTAGGAAGAAAATTGCTACGATGAATATTAGAAATTTCATCCCAGTTGCCATTTATATCTTCTGTAACGTAGAAAAAAGGCATTGAGTTTTATTTTGCAAATTAGATAATAAATTCGATTAGATTTCATCTAATAAAGATTTTTGTAAATTTTATCTTATTTTTATTTCTACTAAAAGTAACGGAACTTGTCGAAAAGTGAATAATCCGGTCGCTGTCCTAAATTCCATCGTGTTCTTCTTATTCTCGTTATTTAAATATACAAAAAAAAGTCTCATCTTTAAATTTCCTTGTCGAATGCGGAAACGTTATGCATTCGACTTTCTTTAAATAAATATTTTTATTCTTTCTCAACTTTGATAGAAAATTTTTACTATAATTTTAAGAAAATTATTAATGACTTAGAGTTAATAACTGCTTAATAACACGTATTCTATATTTATAATATTATTATAGAATATTGCTTTATAATACTCTAAATATTATTTTATCAATTTCTTCAATTCAGTAAGTTTTGTTTAAGTGTATCAAACTGATTCTGCATTAATTTATAAATAATCGTCATATAAATTTCTAATATATTACAGAATTTCTGTAGTAAATCATTGCACAGGCCTATTATATTATTCCAAAATTTATTTAATCATTTCTATTGAATTGCGCGTGAATTATATAAGATTAAAAAATTATTATATTTAAATAATTACGCACAAAAACTGAATTTTAACCCTTATTTAATATTTTAAAAATTGAGGTCAAACAACGTCTCCGTGTGAGGCACCCCTTCTTTACTGGGGTTCATAAAAATGGGTCAACTTTCCCTTCACGTGAGACATATCTCTAGAAATCCTTGAAGATGTTACAATTAACGTTATATCATTTATTTTAAATAATTTAATTAAGATTCACTTGTTAAATATTTTCTATAGCCTTACATAAGCATGGTCAGGAAGCATTGATCTATATAGAAACTGAGAGTAAAGCACTCAAGTTGTATAACACAAATAATAATCATTCGGTAAGAATGACGTCAACATTGTGTAAGCAATTCTAAATTTAGAAATAAAACAGGTTTCATATAGTAAATGTTTTTGTGATCCATCCCCTAAGGTAATAGGACGTTTTATATGCCGTTACTTTAAATACTACATAGAAATAGCTGGAGAAAGCATTTATAAACGATGGCACGATAAGATTAAAGCGAATAAATAGTAAGTTGGCGCGGAAAAGAATGTTTTATATTCAGTGGAATTTCTTTTAAAATACTTTATTACATACTTTTATTAACTTAATATTTAATTAAAATTATAGATTTGTATGGAAACAATTATTAGTTCCGTTATTAACTTAGAAAGTTAACAAAGTTTGCATTAAGTAATTACGTACAAACTGTTCTACTGTGTTTATTTTCACTGCAAAATTTATGTTAAAAATTTATGCTAAAAATAAATCCACTCGTCGACATTTACCTTTAGAAAATGTAAGTTTATGGCATTTAAATATTTCCAGAAAACATATATTAATATAATAAAAATTATTTATGATCTTAAATAAATTTCCGTATATCGTCAGACGAAATAATCAAATAGTTATAATCAGTTTTTCATAAAGAAAACATTAAACTACGAACATTGAAATTTTAAGAGGAACTTTATTAGAATTTAGAGCTGAACATATAAAAACGCACGTTATTCGTAGAAAATGTAAACGAACATCGAGTAGAAATCAATTATTTTGCAATCTAACACATTAATTTCTGACAAAAATCAAAATTTTAAGTTATAATTTCAATAAAATAAACTTTTATTATTAATTATTAAAACATCCCGTTTACTGGAGTTAGGAAATAAAATTAATTCTATTGGATTGGTGTTGAGAATGAAGGTCGTATCGATCCAATTCGTTTCTATTGTTTAATATTCTACTTCATTGATCGCTAAAATTAGATAATTGCTTATGTAGCGTTGTTTGTACATAATTTTATCTCGTTATATTCTATGTCTACATAACTTTAATAGGCATATTAACATTATTTTATGGTATTTTTGTGTCTAAACTTTAGGAAAATATTCACAAGATGTTTTTATAAAGTTTTGAATGAAAATAAAACCGAGAAACTTACCTGTAAGCCAGGACGAGAGAAAGTAAGAGTTTAGTCCGTTAAATGAAATTAATTCTGTGGATGACCCAGAAACTTGACGATTCCCTAAACGTTTATTGTCAACTGGCTGACTGCTTCCTCGTTTTTAGTGAAACGGTGTGACTGACCCGGCAACGCGAGGAAAGTGAAATTCGACTGTTACCAAAAACCCTCTGGCACCATCCACTACGAATTGCTATTATCAACCGGCATCACGTGGTGTATTGAAAACTCGCGCGCGCGCGCGCGGTGCCCAAAACAGATCACCGACGTCATCATAATAGTTCCCCAATGTAATCTGGTTTAAGGAAATAATTTCTTACATATGTAAAGGAAGTGTTAAAATTAACTTTTCTAAATTTCTTTTACGACTTATACAAAATAACTATAAAAAATATATATAAAGTAAGAAAAAAAGATTCAAAATTGGTGCATTAATTAATTAAAATATAAAATTGAATCGTGTGACATTAATTAAATTCACTAAAATTAAGAATTTAATATTTAACACGTGTAAGAATAATTATAACTTTCGATCAAGAACGTTGACTTGGCCTGATTTTAAGTGACAATAACGATTAATTTACAATTCATTTATTTGTAAAGGGAAACAAACATTTTATCTGGTAATATATTTCCTTTATATTATAACAAATTCTAGTATTAAAATTGCAAACTCGCATGTAATTTTAAGCAAAAAGAAAAGAAGAAACTATTTTAATATAGTAAAAAGTCTTTTAAAAAAATTAAAATTTAATTTTTGATAACTTAAAATGTATTTTTTTTAATAATTTACATTATAAATACTCACTGTAAAGTGAAATAAAATTAAACTATATACAATTTACAAAATCCTTACATTTTTTTATTGGCTTTTATTTCATATAAATTTATAAATTTAATAAATCAAGAAAGGAGTTAACGAATATTCAGTTATATAACCAATTATTTTCTTAAAAAAATCTTGATAAATTATATACCTATACATTCTATCTTAAATCTATTTATGGTTTTCTATATTTATATTTCCTTTATATGCCCTATGTTAAAAAATGGTTATACTATTCTTAGGCATGGAGTGAATAATATGCCAATAAGTTGTTAAAGAATATCATAAATAATTGATACGGTAATTTATAAACTGTAAAGAAGTAATTAAAGATAAATAATGCATTAAATTCTATTATTTTAATACAATTAATTCTTCTTGTGGTGCATAATTACTGATTATTATTTTTTCTGTGTAGGAAAAGTATAATATATAACTGCAATATTCGTGAATAGAATTCGAATAAAAGTTTAAAAATATAAATAAAAATAAATTATAAAATTTCAATTTTTGAAGTTTAATACATTATTTAATGGGAGTTGCTCATACGTGGTCGTTGTTTAAAGGTTATTTGTACGAATTTCATAATGAAGCATTCTTGTAAAAATGGTCGTCGTTTAGAGGGTCATTAGTGTATTATTCAATTTGTCATCTGTTCTCACCTGTCATGCATATGTGGACATTTGTTTAAATTATAATAAGATTTTCAATATATATTTATGTCATTTTAATGCTTTTAAATTATCATAAATTTGTAATAAAGTGTAAGTTAACTCTATAATTCCATATTTTGCCGTAGAATATTATTATTATGACTCGAAATACAAGCATATAAACTATAATTAGAACTTATATCTTATTTTAAATATGAAATTTTGTGTAAGTAAAATTTAAAAAAATATTTAAATATATATTATTATAATTTTAATAATTATCTTTTTATATACTTTTAAATTGATTAAATAAAATATTTCTTTCCATTTAATCTAACTGGAAATATCATTCATGATCATGATTTTTCAATCGTAAAAACAATTTATGATTCATAAATTTTATATATAGAATCTTCTAAATGTTAAACTAATTAAAATTCAATTTAAACTTGTAATATTAAGAGCAGGTAAGGATTATGTCACTGATAATTACATGATTTATTTTACTTGCATAAGTTTATCTTCTCTGATCAGCTTTATTTAATTGGTTTTTAATGGATAATTTTCCAAATCATTGTTTTTTCTAATTTAAGGAATATTAGAACATATTTAATACATGAAATATTTATTAAACTCAAAATTTTCTGAAGGCATTTAGCGATTTTTTTATTATAATAAAATTTGTTTGAGATTTCTTTTAATAAATTAAAGTATATTATATCTTTTAAAAGATATAAATGCAAATTTTATGTAAGAATTTTATTGAAATTTATTATCGCTAATGAATGATGTTTACTCTATATCTTAAGTTTCATCACAAGAAGCAATAAAAGGGAAGTAAAATCTTAATTAGTAACATTTTTTATAGTAAATTGTAATTCTTATATTTCGAAAAATTGTAAATCTATTATCGAATTGAATTAAATTTCATTATAATTAAAAAAATAAAATAAAATTTTCTTTCTGTTTAATGTCAATCATCAATCTTTTATTAAAAATAAATTCGATTTTACAATAAAGAAAAAATAATCAAGAAAGTGAATGTATAAAAAACTCGAGACTATAGTAAAAAGTAAAACCTGAAAGATAAATTTGTTTAAAATTTTCAAACAGAAGAAACACGAGATCTTATTGAGGTGAAGAGCCTCAAGATAAAGGTCGACTGCGCCAAGCGACAATGTTGCGAAAGGACGAGCGTGAAGACCTTGTGTTTCTTTTACTTGTCTAAACTATAAACTACATCTATAAGCTTTTATAGATATATCTTATAGTCATATCTATTTTTGAGTATATTTACATTTATAATTGAAATATTAACTAGAAGAGAGAGAAATATTTACCTAGATTCCACTTAAAATGTTGTACGCTACTTGCTTACGGACTGCATAATAAATTTTTCGTTTTAAAAACACTGTAGATATGACTGATTTTTACGATATGTCTATGATTTCATCACAATCAGTAATCAAATATTTGCATATTTAAGTAACTTACTATCTCAAAATTTTTAAATGTCATATTTTAAATAATAGTCATATTAAAATATGACTATTATTATATTAACATATAATGTATATATTATTATTAATCTTTATTAGCATAGATGAATAGTCATTCTGTTACTCAGGGTCTAAGGAATTACAATACTAAAATAAATATTCTGTGAACAATAAACAGGAAATTTATTTATTTTTACAAATAAAGGGTAGAGAAGTGTATAGAGAACAGATAAACGGACAAACATTCTATTTCATACATATAGATAAGAGATAACTATTCCATATTTATTATATATAATTAATTGTGATAATATGTTTCAACATATTTTAATTTATTTTACTTTAAAATCATGCATTAATTAGAGATAGTTGCTAATATTCCTTTATCTAGTATCCTTGAACTGAAATAAAATTGTATCAATATAAAGAATTACATACAGTTAATCAATCTCATATTAGATATTTATATTAATAATTATATTATTAAAAAGCATATAGCAAGCCTTAAATAGATACTTAATGTATACTTTATCAGTTTATCATTAAAATCTCTCCCATTTAAATGTTATATTATCATAATTTTACTGAAATTAAAACAAAAATATAATTTATCTTATGATTTACACGCCGAAACGTATAATAACATTAAATTTATTACATAAAAAGTAAAGTGATGTTTTTAGAGAATATTTACGAATTTTATTACAAATATATGCAAATTTACTTACTTTTTTGTCGAGTATATTTATGATTTTATATAAACATAATTAATTTCAGTATGTAAGTTTAAGTTAAAAAAATATAAAAAAAAAAAAACTTCATAACAAGAAAATAAATCGAGAAATTGTAATACATTTTTAAACAGAAAAGTAGCTCATGTTTTAATTTTAAAAATTCAAAAAAAGTATTATTAAATATAAATATTTGTATTTTATTTTAGAAAAATAGCGGAACTGGATACGATAAGACTACAGATAAACTACTATACGTATAAAAGGTTGCAAGACTGACCTCAATTTTCTTTATTTCGATCTGATCTGACCCTCAAGATACCGACTAATATAGATACTGTATTAAGGAATGATATCCCGGCCAAATTGTTCTTGACAAATCCTGATTAGGATCAGCTTCGAACCAGGACTCGTACGGATAGGGGAATTCTTTGCCAGATATGCCCATATGGTTCGAATATATTTATAATTTTTAATATTTATAAAAGAACATCACTGAAATAAACTATAAGAAATTAGAATTTAAATTTCTGAGAAAATAGAACTACCTTACTTTGTCCTAATTAGATAATTTACACTTGATTTTAATTACAATAAAAATAAGAGAAAATTTAGCGATAATATTTTCCCATTTTTTAATATTTTAAATTTATTTATTTATAAATTCAATGAAACAAAAGCGAGGTATTTAATTTACAGGCTTTTAAAATAATACAGTTTATATTAAGTATCTGTACGTTAGAGTGCATATTCTTTGTGTTAGTATTGTATTCTATACTGTGACTTAAATTGATAACAACAATAGATAAGATAGATAAAAACAAGATTTCTGAACACAGACAAACAATTTACTTCATTTCGACAATAAAATTATTTAAAAATCTATTATGATAATAATGAAACAATGTTTTTCAATTTTGTAAGAAAATTCTAAGAAAATCTAATAAACAGATTCTACGAAATTGTTGCTTATAGAATTTTATAGAAAATATTCTTAGAAAATACCAATTACTATAAATAGATGTTTTCAAAAAGGAAGAAAAAATATATATAAATAATTAGTGTGGACGTCAATTGCATCTGCATTACATCAAACTGTAAACAAAAATGACGTTAATTGATTTTGAATCATTACTTATGTAACGTGTTATAAATTGAAAGTTCTTTAATGCTTTATTAATTGAAAACATCGAGTTTATTTAAAATATTGAGTTATGTTTTAGCTACACAAATAGGCATATTTAATTCTATTTACAGAAAGTATTATTACAGTCAAACCTCTGAATAACGGCCACATTGGAGTTTCGACTGTATAATATATTTTTTAAATGTATAAGACAACGTTAAATATCTTAAATGTACATTAGAAAACTTAAAATATTAAATTTATTAATGTAAAAAATCTTGCATTTTCGATTTTTTTATCTGTTTTTTCTTACTTTAAACGAGTTTCTATATCATTGTTAATATCATAAATGTATATGTTACTTCATTATTATCTTATCGAGTTAAAAGACAATTATAATTTGAAAAACATTTTATATAAATAATAAACGTTTTAACAAATTAATAGAAAATCAGCCATTAATTCTTAATTTATAATAATTTAATTTTGTAAAGGAGAAACCAGCAGGACTATTTGATGCCAGGTACAGCGGGTCCCGAAGTTTAGCTCTGTAATATAATAAGACGGCGGTGTTTTTTTTATTTCTTTTATTGGTCTTATTCATATATTTTTGTGAACTTTCTTAGAGAAGTGAGGCCCACATTTGGGACTGTCTCATCCACATTACACAGGCCCTTATACTAAACTTTTAATTGTAGTGTTTGTGTAATAAAAATATACTGATTCAATTAAATTATAACTCTTAAAAAAATATGACTATAAACTGTAAAGATATGCAATTTTTATAAGTTTAATACGAAATTTTGTATATTTTGATAGATTATTACGATTACATATATAGTATATATCTTCGTATGTAGAAAAGATTATAGTATTATACTAGGGACGATGAATATTATATCAAAATGATTACATTATAATTATGTATAGTTGTCGCATTTTTCATGGTAAAGGTTCAACATCGTATTTTATCACGGAAAAAATTAAAAATAGATGAACTCATTTTTATAAATTTGTTTCTAAGTTTAATTGTGTGGGAAATATTTACGCAGAATAAAATCTAACTTCACATAACGTTCTTATTACATTACTTTAAAGTTATGCGGCGAAACAATGTGTTTTTAAAATAGCTACGACTAAGGAAGAAAAATGAATAGTGTGTGTATATATATATATATATATATATATATATACATATATATTTATTAGGTAAATAAACTAAAGTTATTTATGAAAGAACTGCTGCATAACATAATACAGTGTATGGCCAAGGGGGACTCATGATCAAATCCAGGGATTTTTTTATTGTCGATATATTCCTGATATATCGTGGCTTGAACCACATCACCCTCATCCGGCTCCATTGTGGGCCTGACCGAACTCCCGATGAGTATGAATAGAACGCTTTCTTACTGGCCACAGGACAGAAAGAGTTTAAAATAAAAAATACTGTATAATAGATTGAATATATTTTTATTTTAAAATCAATAAAACTCATTACGTATTATTAATATATTGTTTAATAGCTTAAGCAATTCTAATAGATATTTTTAGTGTTTTTAAAACATTCATTAATTGTATTTATCAAAATACTTAAGAAACAGAACATATGCCAATTGATAAAGAGTTCCTTTAAAACAAGATTAAAACTATTGTCTGTCAGTGTTATCAATAAGATAAATGAATTTGTTTTGAATATGAAATGAAACCTTTTTTTTTAGATTATCGAATTAATATTTATTCTTATCACAGGTTACATTGGTAATTTTAAAGTTTTGAGTTTTTCAGCTATCATGCCTCTCACCTCTTTCTCTATAATATTTTTAATTTGAGGATTAAATAACTTGAAAACCATCTTAGAAATAATTTTAACAACGCTGTTTAATAATAAACGATTTCTGATTTTCATATCAAATCCTTTCATTTCTATTATCCTAAATTCTTTCAATTCGGGCTCAGATCCAGTTTTCGCTTCAATTTCCATTTCAACTGATACGTAACCTACACTACCGGAAATTTTGATTGCAGGTCCTACATTCATGAATGATATAGTGCCTGTATAGTCAAAGTGCAAAACTCCCAAACCTAAAGGAACGTTGACGTGAAAGCCATCGCTATTATATTGCATTGTACAATCGTCATCTCTAAAAATTATATAAATAATAATTAAATAAATTTAATATATAAAACATAATATTTATGGAAATTAATCTTAATTTTTACCTGTGCATAGATGTTAATCCAGAAAGAACACCATCGTGTAATTGTGCCTTACCACGATATGTTATTAATATGAATCTCTTTTCAAAATTCAATCCCATATCCGGAAGGGGATGAGGATCTAATTGGTGACCATACGCCAGTTTTGTAACAGTTAACAGTTTATCGATAAATTCGTTACCGTTACCAATTTGTACAGATGAACTTTGAAGTAATAAACTCACTAAATATTTTAAATATATACACAATATATCAGTTATTATAAGAATATTTTAATCGAAAGTTTTGTTTTGACATAATTTTTAAATTAAATATATAATTTTAGATTGATAATTTCAGTAATTATATTTCATACAGAGTGTCCCATAAGTCTGGAACCATAGGAGTTGTTGATCTTTATTTATTATTTTCCAGCTTATGGGACACTCTGAGAAAGGAGGGACAAATTCAAGTTATTCAGATAGTCCGGATACACAGTCAGCGTAAAGTTGCCAAAGAGTTTAACAGGTTTCATCCAGACTTCCTACCTCACACCAATGACCTAATGGATAAAGCCATTGAACACCGATAGTGCTCGGTCGTGGATTCGTGTTCCACGTGGACTGACCATGTGGTGTATTCTGGACTTTCTTCACGTGTCTAACACCTAAATACGGCCAATTTCCCGTAGAAAGTCCTCCCGGAAGGCATCCCTCTTTGACAGATTGCTCAGTTGTTGCATTGACTTATTTCATCATGCCACCATACCACCACCATCACACATTACTCTAGATGAAGCCTGTTAAACCTCCCGTCAAAATAACTTGAATTCGTTCCTTCTAACTCACTTGTCAGTATCTGACTTTACCAGTAAAAGTGTAAACAAAGATTAACATAACTCCTATGACCCTAGACTTATGGGTTACCCTGTATATTTTATATAATTAACATAATTATAAGTCTAAAATTGTATAATGGTTAGATCATTGAAATAATTGAAATTAATTTATTAAATATATTTAAAAAATTTACCATTTTGACTAATGGCTAAATGAAACAAAGTAAAAATTGCAATGATGGTCTTCATATTGAACCTTCAATAAAAAATTAACCAAATTACAATATTTTATAATTTATACTAATTATATTAAAACGATTTTAGATAAAAATTCATTATAAGCAAGCAAATATATTGTTAATTTTAAATTAAATTATATTTAACGTTTTTTTAATAAATTAAATACCAAGAGCGAGACTAAAATTTAATTTTAATTATTTATTTTAAACGTTATTGAATATCATAATTATTTTAAATATTTATAATTCATTTTACATTCAACAAAATGAAGCAATAAGCTTACCTTTCATAGAAATTTCTGAATTACAATATTAAATCTTGAAACTTGCAGGCTTATAAAAGCCTTATTATATCTTATATAAGAGATAAGAAAGAACGATAACATTCATTATATAACTATACACCTCAACAAAGTTAATTTTAACGTTTATTCAACATTTTATTCAAGTATTCATCATTTTCTTTCAAATATTTTATGTAATAAAATAATCTAAAAATTGTTATTGGTCGAATAGCCAAGCATATATTACGGTAACATCTGCTTTTTCCAATATTACATAGCGAAAAATTCTATTTCGAATGCCTTAATAGTCTGAAAAAATCATTTATGTAAAGAGGTTTTGAACAAAATATCTTTTATTTTTGTCTTAAATAGAGAAAAGACTGCAATTGAGATGTTTACTTAGATTAAATTATCTTAAAATTGCAACAGTTGTTATGTCGGAGTTTTCATTTTTGTAAAAATGGAAGAAAAATAAATCTCAAAAATAAACTCGCAAGTAAACATTGCTGTTTATAGAATAAAAGAGAAGAAATATTCATTTGTTGAAATATATGTTATTGTATAGTAAATAATTTATCATCATACCGTAACATCTGCTCCTTTTCAATGTTACTTAACGAAAAATACTTCTAGTGTTAATTATTTTGCTATCAATAATCTTAATTTTATCGCATTTATTTTAATTAACTTCTAAAAATGAACAATAGGTCATGCCGATCATCTATTAATTGTTTCGAGCAGAAACGTTTTGAATTGAAATAACGTAACTTCCGATTTGCATCGGAAGTTCTTATATAGTTAATCGGGATCTCCGGCTCCTAATGTTTCCATATCTAGTCTCTACTTTCAACTATCTTACTCCGTTCTCGACATTAAGGAACGACAGACGGACAAACAGACAGACGAAAATGGAAATTTATAAGTCTACTTTTAAATTGCAGCCCAATTATGTAAAACAAACTAGCAAAGTAAATTTATGTTTAACGTAAAAGTAGAAAAGATATTTGAAATTTTTGGTATATTTCTGAATAGGCACGTAGGTAAGGAGGGAGTTTGTCGGGCTGTAATCTCCCTCCGATTTTCAGCTTACTGCCAATAGCAAAACGACGGACGGTGATTAATATGTCAGTCATGGTCACCTCCTGATAAAAGTTTAGGAATGAGCCACGCGAAAGAAAATTCTGGCGACGGGTGTGTTTCTGACAAGTGTGAATGCTTATTTTTTAAAACTAGATCAAACATTTTTTACTTTTCTGGCTGTTATAGCCTATATAACAGAGGGAAAGTATTTGTAATCGGTCAAAAACGATCCCACAAGATTTTTACATTTTTTGGGCTCTGTGAATCTTGAAACATCGAGAAATACGAAAAAAAGTTCAGGATTTTTCTTTGTATGTAGGGATGTTTATGCTTGTACTGTACGTGTGGGGCACGATTTTTTTTCACCCTCTTTGAAGCTTAATAAGTCCTGTGTCTTTTGTCGAACCTTTCTGAAATTTTGCAGGGAAGTTTGTGTATTAGAAGCATGGAAGCTGTTAAATTTTGGTGATTAAAGATCGAAAGGATGGGAAAGTAGAAGAAGTCGTTATTTCTTTCGATTGGGTCGGACTTCATGAAGATTTTACTCGTTATTAAAATTTACAATTTTTTAAAATTGTTAATTTGAATGTTTGAAATATGACACACGATAGGGGCGCCTCTAGTGTCCGTTATGAAACGGTTACGGGACGGACACGAAATGAATGGGTTATATATATATATAGATTACGGTGCACACCTTGCGTCCGAATAGCCACAACCGAAGCTACACAAATTTTTATTAAAACTATTATAAATAACTTTGTGCAATCAAATTTGTTTACGAATAGTAACTTGTAAGTTATTATAAATTTTTTTATTCGACATATTTTGCTTGTAATTTAGATGTGTTATCAATGAATTACACACATGATTCGACCCGTCTGTATTCGATTCTGTCTCCCCAGAGAGGTAGGCTGTATCTTATTCACTCCGTCATTCGGTCGTTTTATGATGTTACTGTTCTTTAATAATCTATATCTCGCTTTTTACTACTGTTTCATGCGCAGAATACGATTACTATCTTTTTTTCTTTCTTTCTTTCTTCTCTAATATGGAGATTATACGATTACTATTGCACGTCGGATTTAAGGTGCGTCGACTTTGTTGCAACAGAGTATATATATAAAAATTATCAATTTAATATTATGTTATGCTAGTACTAATTAGATCATAAACACAAATTTACGTTTTATGTAAACATTATAGCATCACCCACAAATAAATAAATAAACCAGCAACGAGTTGTTCAACTTTCCCAGCAACATTTAAAATTTTGGTAGCACCATATGTTGTCATATTTTATTAAAACAACTTTATATATATGATTTTAATCATTATAAAATGGCAAAAAGCTTAAGAATATAAAAAGTTTTTTAATGAAATATCATAACAGATGGCGCCACACAATTTTGAGAGTTGTTACCGCAATCGTTTTTATACTTGTATTGTGCCTTCGATTTCTTTCTTTCACAGTTTATACAGATACTAGTAGCCCGGGACGCCCGCTAGTGGGCGTTCTTTACAATTTTCTATGAGGCACGGTTCCTTTGACTTTTTTGTTCCTATCAATATGCTCTACAGCTCTGTTAAAGTCCCAATGGGAAGATTTACCCTCCGAATGAAGAGGTGGCGACCCCCCAAACTGTAGCCCCTGTGCGAACAATAAAGTCAAAGGAACCATACTCCTACTCGCGACCCTTCGCGAGATATAAGCCCCTGAAATAATAAATTCCTATTACAAATGTACTGAATTATTTATATTGTTATATTGACCAAATAATAATTTATGGGCCAAATGAATAATAATAATTTATATTGTTAATTTAAATAATAATTAAAATTGTTAATTTGAATGTTTGAAATATGACACACGATAGGGGCGCCTCTAGTGTCCGTTATGAAACGGTTACGGGACGGACATGAAATGAATGGGTTATATATATATATAGATTACGGTGCACACCTTGCGTCCGAATAGCCACAACCGAAGCTACACAAATTTTTATTAAAACTATTATAAATAACTTTGTGCAATCAAATTTGTTTACGAATAGTAACTTGTAAGTTATTATAAATTTTTTTATTCGACATATTTTGCTTGTAATTTAGATGTGTTATCAATGAATTACACACATGATTCGACCCGTCTGTATTCGATTCTGTCTCCCCAGAGAGGTAGGCTGTATCTTATTCACTCCGTCATTCGGTCGTTTTATGATGTTACTGTTCTTTAATAATCTATATCTCGCTTTTTACTACTGTTTCATGCGCAGAATACGATTACTATCTTTTTTTCTTTCTTTCTTTCTTCTCTAATATGGAGATTATACGATTACTATTGCACGTCGGATTTAAGGTGCGTCGACTTTGTTGCAACAGAGTATATATATAAAAATTATCAATTTAATATTATGTTATGCTAGTACTAATTAGATCATAAACACAAATTTACGTTTTATGTAAACATTATAGCATCACCCACAAATAAATAAATAAACCAGCAACGAGTTGTTCAACTTTCCCAGCAACATTTAAACTTTTAGTAGCGCCATCTCTTGTCATATTTTATTAAAAATATTTTTTATATTTATTTATTATAAAATTGCAAAAAAACTTAATTTTGAGGGTAGGGACGGGTTTAAAAAAATTGTAAATGCTAATAACGAGTAAAATCGTCATTAAGTCCGACCCTACTGGAGATACACATGACCCCCTTTATCTTCCTATCCTCTCGACCTTTAATCACCAAAATTTAATAGCATCAATCCACCTAATACAAAAAACTCCCTGCAAAATTTCAGGAATTTTCGACATAAAGCATAGGATTCTGCAGCATTTTATTTTTCCTTAAATTCGTTTTTCTTACAATTATTGTTTTTGGAATAATTTTTTTAAATGTAATTAAATGACATTGTTAATAAACACCAAAAATTCCACTAATTTTTTTTTATTGATCTTGGAATAAAGAAGATTCAACATTCGATTCAACTTCAGTCGAATGTTGTCTATGTTTTTCTTTCGTTCTCAAAGAAGCCAAAAAAAAAAAAAAAAATACTGACAAAATTTTGAAAGATATTTTAAGCAAAGGAATTATGTTCATAAAAAAGTGTATGCGTGACCGTACAACAATAATTGGTGATCATCCTTGAATCACTTTGAGAATCGCTGTTCTACACTACACTGTATTAGTATTATGAGTGAAAAATGATCAAAAGTATAAAGCTAATGAGACAAATATCCTTTGTGGGCCTGGTCAGAACAATTGGTGGATATAAGAAAAGACTGGCTTACACAGAGAAAAGAGTTAAAAAGTAAAAAAACATAGTGTAACAGCATTTATCATTCATATATAAAAATAATTTGTGGCATTTCATTAAAATATATTTATTGAAGATAAAAATAACCATACATTACCCTTCCATAATAGAATAAAAGAAATGTTTATCTTGTATATAATAATCAGATCTTACATCTAATTTATCTTTTTAAATTTAAAAAAATATATATATATCAAATTAATTGTATTTTAATGACTTATTTCTGTATTTAGATACTGTATTTCAGTATTGATCTACTTGAAAACTATTTAAAAAACTTGGAGGAGTGATAGCAAGTGTTACATTATTGGCATACTCTAACTTATTAATTTCATCATTTATAATTGTTTTAAAAATATTTTCTAAGCCAGTAACAAATTTTGTCTGAAAAAATTTCAAAATAATCTTCTGTATAAAATTTAAGAAAGTTGATAAAGGATTAAAATTTGTTTTAATTGTAAAGTTTTTCATTTTTCGGATTTTTAAATTTGTAACATTCATTTCGTTTTGTTTTGTATTTACTGTTATTTCTGCAAAAACAGGTTCAACTCTTCCTTCCATTGTAAATGGTGGAAATCTCAATGTAATGAAAGGATTTATGTGAATATCGTAATTCCATCGTAATTCTCCAGTGGTTAGATTAACAAATATGTAAATATCTTCTTTAGTAACTCTTATTTCGCAGTTTTTATCCCTGAAAAATAATATAAATATATATATATATATAATTAAACAAGTCAAATTTAATAAATACATTATTTTATACAGTGAAAGCAAACAATATAATTAAAGATAGCGGTTTGTTTAAAATCTAGAAATTTTTCTTATCACATCTTTTATTGAAACATGATTAAGATTATTTAATGCCATTGGATTAAACTTTTTGTTAAACTATTAAAGACAATGAAAACATCTTGAATGAACTTAAACATGCAAACTGAGGATAAATCAAGAACATGTTCAATGCGATATATATTTACAAGACTACAAGAGGCCACCAATGGCTTAGTGGATACAACCACCGAGCATTGGCGTACTTGGTCGTGAGGCTCGCACTTCACCAACTGGCTGGTTATGCGGAGTTTTTTGGATTTTCTTCGCATGTCTAACACCTAAATAGCGCCAGTTTCTCATAGAAAGTGATCTCGGAAAGCATTCCTTTTGGCAAATCAACCTTATGTTGCGTCGCCAATCCATTTACAATAATTTTGTTTCTGAGTTATATAGAAACTGTATTAGGACAATCGGATGGTCGAGGCAGTAAAATCTGTCCAAAACGCCCCTGTGTCAGCGTATCGCTCTGAGGACCCGTAATCGAATCCGAGTGAGACACCCCAGAAATTTTTCGGGACTCGTATTTGTCCCAAGTTATTATTATTGTTGATAAGAACAGAGAGAAACAATAATAATTTTCATATATTACACATACAGCAAAACATCAGTTATCCGAATTAATTGGGATTCGAGCTGTCCGGATATGAGGAATAATTGGATTTTTGC